TGAGGAATACTCTTAGAAAGCCTTTTGAAGGTAACCTGCTTTTATGGTAGTGGAGGCCAAGTCCTGGTGCACAGTCCAAAGGAAGATTCTTTCCAGAAGGCCAAATCTAGGGAGTAAAATTGTGCAGATCTATTTAAAAGGAAAACATGTACTTACTATGTACTGCAATAGAAGCAGCTGAGGCAGAGTTTCTTAAACAAGATGCCTTGGCATCCTGTGGTGCTGCCAGATTCTTTGAAGGGTGCTGCTGGGATAATAGGTTCAGGCTTGTCCCTGTCTAGCCAGTCCCAAGCACCCCACTGCCTGGCCTGGCTGAAAGGAAATAAACACTGTAATATATACATTTCTGAAAATTGGATACCCAATCATATGCAAGAAATACTACAAAAAAATACAAAAAAAACCCACTACAAAAAAAATGACAGCCACGTGATCCAAAGTTCAACACACAGGTCAATTACTTGCTTCAATATTTTTCTCTAGACTAGATGCATCTTGAACCCTATCCTAACTCATGAAGGCTGAGTTGAGCTGTATCTACCAATTCCAAAAAGCAACTGAAGACTAGTTGAGACTGGTTATCAACTGTAGTGACTCTGAAATCTTACTAGTAAATATGACTGTAAATTCTATTTCACTAGAAATTTTCAAGAAAAGGCTGAATAGACACGTACATGGGATAATATGATAGTATATCCAGCATTTGTGCAGAGGGGTTGATTAGATGACCCCTGAGGTCTTTATAACCCTACAGTTCTTATACCTTGACACACTTTAGACAGGTATCTTTGATGAACCAGTTGTCCAAGTATAAGAGTATGTGCACTTCTAAATGTGGAAGTACACGTCAACTGTTTCATGATGCCTTTGTCTTGTGATAACTCCAAGCACCAGAAATATCTCTCTTCAAGCCTAAAAATCAAGAGCCAGTCAGCTTTCCCTACCAGAGTTATGATGATCACTTTTTTTTTTCAATCCAATAATGAATTAAATTCTGAGATTAAGGATCTCAAGAACCTTATCTTTTGACTATTTGAAACCTCTTTCTATCAGACTTAGTCTGTGTGTCCATAATGCTCTTAGAGCACTCTGACTGGTTGTCTCAGCAGCCAATCACAATGCTTACTGAAACAACCAGAGTGCTCCATACAGACAGATGGCCAGATGAGTATCGCAGGGCCAGGCATGAAGCTGGGAGGGGGCAGTGCATGGCTGGACACAGAACAGCAGCAGCACAGGCTGGTGGCTAGCAGTGGTGGCCACATGGAAGCTTCACCCCCACCCCCTGCTCCTGGGAGGCAGCAGCAGTGCACGTTGCTCCATCCCCACCCCCTGCCCAGTCATTCTTGATGGGCAATTCACTAGTATCTGGTATAAAACCTTCTGCTCTTTGAATCTTTGAACAAAAACATGAGGGAATAGACAGGACAAAGAACAGCAAAGTCTTCAGTCTTAGAAACTCACTTCCTTGAAAAAGGGAAATACCTGCCCTAAATTAAATTCTGATGTCAAATTAGTCCTTGAATTTTTTCTAACCCATGATACCTATAGCAAGCAGACCTAATAGCACCCACCCTCGAGACAGCAAAGCTTATTGTATTTATACACTATGCTAGGCCCAAGTCTTGTGGCCTCAAAGCATAATTAGCTTGTAAAGCATCTCACTGGAAAGAATCTACCATATCTGAAGGCACCTTGAATACTTTAATCTGACCTTTAGTCAAAAAGACCTTACAGAGCACATTACAAAGGACAGAAATGATGAACTACTAAATATTTAATCCAAGTAACTTCTAAACATTACAGGACAGAAAGTTTGGCTGGCTTTCCTGACATTTGCAGCGTCTTCACCAATAAATTCTATGGGGAAAATGAGAAATAGATTCTCCCACAGTATTCCCTAGGAGGATGTACAATTTTTCCCCTCGATCATGGTCTTAACTATCAGCTAGACCAGGGGTCAACAACCCCCAGCACGCATGCCAGGACATGACATGCAAGGCCATTTCACTCAGCACATCTCAGTCCTGCTGCAAGCAGCTGGGCTCTGTGGCAGACAGCCTGAAGGCTGTAAACAGCTGCACCGGGCTCCATGGCAGCTCCACATGCACCTCAGGCTGGATAGCAGGGGAGTGGCTGGGGTTGCACTGCCCCAGGCCCCTTCCTGGCCATGTCTCCAAGGTGTGCATGCAGCTGCTACCAACACAGAATCCAGCTAGGGCTCTGGAGCCTGGCACAGCCTGCCATAGGCAGCCCAGGCTCTGGACAGCCATAGCATGCAGTGGGTAAGCTGCAAACAGTTGCAATGGACTCCGTAGCCCTGGAATTGGTTCCACTGCAGCGGTGCAGGGCAGGGAAGGGACCAGAGCAGTGTAACACCAGCCCCTCTCCCTCCCTCTGCTGGAGGTATGAGTGTACCCATTGCCAGCAATGAGGATTGGGCCCCTTGAGGCTCCCCCGCCCTCTGCCTCTGGCATGCCAAGTTGAAGTTTGGGTGTTTTGCCACCCTGGCCAAAATGTTGCCAAAGTAGAAGAAAGGACACAGCAATGCTACTGGTTATATATTCCCAGGTCAAAGTACCTCAACTGTGGCCATGGCCAACTCTTTAATGGGAATAAATCAGTGACTTGACAGACTCTTGTTCAATAATCATGCTATATATTAAATCAAAAGTGGCTTTATTAGTTACACCTAATAAAAGGGTCAGGTTACATGGACATTTCAGCTATAGCTACTGAAGTCATGAACCAACAGAATCTACGCTTTTTAATTAAATAAAATGTCTTTCCAATTCTTCCTGCTTATTCCCTGTGCTTCTCACACTATGTAAACATTTCAGGTAACCAACAAATTGCCTTAATTTCCAAGAATGTTTTAAGACTTCCCCTATTTGGCTCCTCTTACTTGGATTTTACCTAGATCACCTGCTCCTTTACTTAGCTCTGGGCTTTTATCTCTACCCCACAATGAATCTAGTTTAAAGCCCCTTCATTAAGTGAGCAAGTTTATACACAAAGATGCCCTTTCCCTTCTCCCCCTCTCCCAGCCAGAGTGCCCAAGCTGGTTGGGGGCCTGAGGACCAGGGAGGTTTGCAGCTGACTGGACACTCCAGCCAGGAGGCAGGGGGGTTGCAGCTTCCCCAGTCCCTCAGCCCCCAGCCAGCTTGGGCACTCTCCAGCCAGGGGAGGTGGGGTGCAGCTGACTGGTCACTCCAGCCAGGAGCAAGGAGGCTGCAACCCCCCCCCCCCCCCCCCCCCCCCCCCCCCCCCCGCCCCCGCC